ACAGAGAAACCCTGTCTTGAAAAACCAAAACAAACAAAGAAACTAATGCAAAAACAGTGCCACCAACTGGGCACCAAGAATTCAAACACCTGAACCAATGGGGAATATTCTCATTGAAACCACACATAAGATAGTGTCTTTAAAATAATAATAATTAAAAAAAAAAAAAAGTGAAAACCTGTTGGGCCCTTAGGAGGTGGAGAAAGCAAGATCAGGAGTTCAAGGGCATCCTCAGTTACATAGTGAGTTCAAGGACAGCCTGGGCTACTTGAGACCTTGTCTCAAAAACAAACAAACAAACAAACAAACGAATGAACGAAAAATCCTGATAATTTCAACAGTGTGGATGGAACCAGACAGCATTATGTTGAATAAAATAAGCCAGAGAAAGAAAGACAAGCACCACAAGATCTACTGATATGTGGAACCCTAACAAATGATCTCATCAAAGACGAAAGTAGAAGAGTAATTATTAGAGGCTAGAAGAGAGGATTGGGAAAGGTTGGTCCAGGAGCACCAAGGCACACTCAGCTAGAAGCAAGAAGTTCTGCGGTGTTATTGCACAGTAGGGTCCTACAGATAACAATACACTGTGTATTCCAAAAAGCGAGGGGGACAAGGGAGCTTCGGAGGTGTCTTCTTAAAGAAATGATAACTAGAATGTAGTAGCACATGCCTGTGATGGAAGGCCCGGGGTAGTGGAGGCAGTAGGATCAAAAGTTCAAAGTCAAGGGCCAGAGTGATGACTCAAAAGCTAAGCAGCATTGGCTGCTCTTCCAGAGGACCCAGGTTTGATTCCCAGCACCCACATGGCAGCTCATAACTGTCCTTAACTTCAGTTCCAGTGTCTTCTTCTGGCTCCAGAGATACCAGGCACACACATGGTGTACACACTTACATACAAGTAAAACACAATAAACACCTCCGGGCGGTGGTGATCCCAGCACTCGGCAGGCAGGCAGAGGCAGGTGGATCTCTGTGAGTTTGAGGCCAGCCTGGGCTACAGAGTGAGTTTTAGGAAAGGCACAAAGCTACACAGAGAAACCCTGTCTGGAAAAACAAAACAAAAAACAAGCAAACAAAAAGAAAACCTGGGCTTAGTGCTAGGTGCTTCTTCTCTGGGTTGTTGTTCAGGCAGCTCCCAGACTTGGCTCCAAAACACTACAGATGATTGTCACTGCTTGTGGCTACCCACTGTTAAGTCTCAAACCCTGGGACAAAAGGCTGAGGTGCCTATTTACACATCAAAGCAGACTTAGCCACCAGGATCTCCAGGATCTCTCAGTCCCTACCAGTTACAGACTGTGGCTGGCATACTGCGCCCCCTACCCTGAACTCTCCAGCGCACAGGTTGGGCTGTCCTTCCCCCTAGAGGCTCTTCCCTATGCAACCCAGCATTTTGGTTACCCATCCTCTTTACCTTTGGCCCTTTTCCTTGGCGGCGGCACCTGGCTCCCCCTCTTCTCCCTCTCTCTTCCCCTCCCCCTCTCCTCACATGGCTCAGGGTCACGTCCACTCTGGACTCTCCCAGATGTCCCTGCCTCTGACTATGTCTCCCTTTTATCTATAATAAACTTTCTCCTCCATCATACGTAGGAACAGTCACGTTCCTTTCTTTTTTATTTCTTTTTTTCATTCACTCATCAGAGTGGATGGTAAGATCTAATTGCTGACCGGTGTGGTGGTGCACACATTTAATTCCAGGCCAGCCTGGTCTGTATAGTGAGTTCTAGGCTTAGCTAAGGGTACATAGCCAGACCCTGTCAACAACCCACCCAACCACCCACAAGAAACAAAACACAATAAAACCACTATCAAGAAAAACATAGCCAAGTGGTGGCACACGCCTTTAATCCCAGCACCCTGGAGGTAGAGGCAGGTGGATCTCTGAGTTTGAGCCCAGCCTTGTCTATGGAGAGAGTTTCAGGACAGCTAGAGATACACAGAGAAACCCTGTCTCAAAAAGCCCCTCAAAAGAAAACAATCCTGTTGCTGAGGACATGGCACATTGAGCACAAATACCATGGGACACAAGGATCATGCCGAATGTAAGCTGGATAGAGTCCACAGTGCCAGGTGGTGCTATGCAGGCTCCTGAAAGAGAAAACTAATCAGTCACCTTACCCAGATATGGTCCCAACTGCTATAATATTGACCTGTCATGTAAGATATACCCACTGGTGTCTTAGTGACATGATGGTTTTGGGGGTAACCAACCACTTCCTAATTGGATCTGAGGTTTGCTCTATGGGAGGAAATACATGTCTATTATGGTAAATCTTGTCAAAATCTGGGGAGGTCAAAGGCCATTGTCGGTAATTTACTACTAGTGATTTTTAAGTGGTATATGGAGTTAAACTGCCTTCTAAATATTTATGTTTATACCCAACCCAGGCCACTGTTGTTCTTGGTCAGAGTGGCTTCTACCCTGGCTGACCTGGAACTCACTCTGTAGACCAGGCTGGCCTTGAACTCACAGAGATGTACCTGCCACTGTCTCCCAAGTACTAGGATTAAAGATGGGCACCACCATGTCCAGCTTCAAAGGAGTTTCTTTTTGTAGTGGCTCTGGTTAATGCTTTGACTTACATGTCACCAAGGTGACGAAAGTGACCGCTGAGCGCTCAGCCTTAACTGGGCGTTTACACTGCTTCCCTCTGGGGCTCGGGTGACACTGTAGAAGAGGGTGCAGAAAGATGGTAAGGACCAGAGAAATGGCGAGGAGTGTCATGAAAGGCACTGGGTATGACAGGGCCATTGTGATCATGAACACATGAACAGGCAGTGGCTGTGGCTGGCCACACAGGATCACACACACACACACACACACACACACACACACACACACACACACACGCATACACACGAAAGCAGAGGGACTAATTCAGAAGAGGGGGTCTGCAGGAGTGGGAGGGGGGATAAGAGAGGGTTAATTGGGAATTGGGAGTGAAGATGATCATAATGCATTGTACACAGGTACAAAATTGTTAAAAAGTCTGGGCTTCTGGGAGAGGTTTTTATATCAGCCTTACACCTTATTAGTTGAACTTAATTTTTTTTTTTTTTTTTGGTTTTTCGAGACAGGGTTTCTCTCTGTAGCTTTGTGCCTTTCCTGGAACTCACTTTGGAGACCAGGGTGGCCTCGAACTCAGAGATTCGCCTGCCTCTGCCTCCTGAGTGCTGGGATTAAAGGCATGTGCCACCACCGCCCGGCGAACTTATTATTTTTTGTCTTGGCCAAAAAAGTGTGTAAGGTGAGATAACAACACTCCATTTGACAGATGTCTGTCCCTTTAGAGTTGATGAGGGAACTCCAGCATCCTTTTCTCCCTCCCCTCTCTGTTACCGTCTCCTCCTGTGGTGGTATTGTGTTCCCCAAAATATTGTGTACTCTAATAAATTTATCTGGTGTCAGAGAACAGACAGCCACTAGATACAAAGGCTAGAAAATGGTGGCACTCACACCTTTAATCCTAGCATCCAGAGATAGAAATCCCTCTGGATCTCTGTGAG